TCTGGTTTAAAATGCATTAGATTCTGTGACGTGACGATTACGAAAAATGGCATTTTTCGGTATATGCATGGCTGAGAAATTTCCTCCTTTTTTTTTTCTTTCTCGAGTTTAGTTTGAAATATTGAAGAAAGAATAGTAAAGATTTGGGGTAAAACTGTAATGGTAAAGAAAACGAGAGTACGATCTGTAAATTGGCGGCATGATAAAACGAATCGGTTTGTAGGCTGATCGATAAGAACCAATGCCAATTTATTTCTTTGTTTAAACAAAGCTAATATCGACAGAAAGGTATGTAAAGTTGTAAACCATAGCTGCCACGTGAAGTTTGAAATAAAAGGACACACTATAAGATAAATGGACACACATGGGAGTGTCTTAGTCATACCATTTGAAATGGATCAAAACATGGCGATGAGACACGTAACATACTAACATCAAAGAGAAGAATCAAGATCCACCTTCGTACTTATCTTCCGTACCACGTCCTTTATCCATATCTTCTATGTTACATCTTTGTAATATGAAATTATTACATTAACGTGTTACTTGTGAACACAACAGTATTAACGATTCCTAGATGTAGTTTCAATTCGATTATTATTTTAAAATGTCAAAACATACATTTATACATGTCTGAGACCATCGTAACTAATCCTAGAAAAAATCGTTTACTTACCAAACCAACTCTAATTTATACTTCCTTTGGGCATTTAGAAATGTTTTAGGTTTTACATCTATTAAACTAATTAACTGCGCACCATCATCAGTCTTTTCTCCATTTTGTTTTGGTTTGGATAATTGTCTGATTGTGCCCGATATCGTGGTCTTGGTGTGTAGCGGAACACTCGTCACCATGCATGTCAATGTCTCCTTCCTATATAAACTAAAACCATCAATCATTTTCCTCAAAAAGAAACATATCAACAAAACAACAACAAAAAATGGCGATGACCAACAAATTAACCATAACACTTCTCCTTCTCATCTCCATAGCATTTTCCCACTGCTTGGCCTTCCGTGTGGAGGTCGACGCGGAAGAGTTCGAACCTACTCATCATGAGGGACAACAAGAAGGTCCTGGCGGTGGTCAAGGTGGCGGCTCCGGCCAAGGATGGGAGGAAGAGGCGACGAACAATCCGTTCTACTTTGGGAAAGAGCGTTTCAGGAATTGGTTTCAGTCAAATGAAGGTTTCGTGAAATTGTTGCCAAAGTTCACTCAACGCTCATCGTCTCTCTTCCGTGGAATCGAGAACTACCGATTTATGTTCATGGAGATGGAGCCTAAAACTTTCTTTGTGCCTCACCATGTTGATGCGGATTACGTCTCTTTAGTCCTACAAGGTAATCTAATTAAATCTAAACAAAACACACACACACACACTTCTATTCTTAGAAACTTACTATAAATAACTAATATTTGTAGGGAGTGGAGTGGTTAGTTTCGTGACGGATAAGGCAAAAGAAAGCTTTCAAATAACGAAAGGTGATGTGGTGAGAGTCCCATCCGCCGTCACACACTTTTACACGAACACAAACGAAACCGTTCCTCTCCGTCTTGCCAAGATCGTCGTCCCTGACAACAATCCGGGACACTTCGAGGTCCTTTATTTAATTTGTATCTATCTTTTTCACAATTTAACACTTTATTAACGTCATTTAATTTAATTAACCTCGAGTTGTTCCAGGTTTTCCTCCCTTCTCGATCCCAATCTAAGCAATCCTACTTCAATGGGTTCACCAAAGACGTCCTCTCTGCAAGTTTCAACGTATGCTTCTTCATCTTAACTCCATCATCTTTTAATATTTAACGTGTATATATAAGAGCCTATGATAAGGTTTTGAATTTGAGTGTGAATATTTTGGATGATATTAGATAACTTTAAGATTTAATTCAAGAGCTTAGTAATCTTGAATATTTACACGAAACTTTGGACTAATTTTAGATAATTTTTGTAAATTTTTTATCATCAAAATATTTATATCTTTTGAAATAATCATAG